TTTATTGAAGAAAAATACTTTTATACTCATAAAATTCAATAAAAAAGTTTTTTAAGTCTTACTTTAAATTTTTTTATATTAAGTAATTCTAAAATATTTATTGTGTTTGCTTTTAATATGCATAGGTATCGTGAAAAAATCAATATGGAATATAAATATCTATCCATATGTGCGTATATGTATATGTGTTTCTTGGTAAGTATACCATACCACACTGATAGAACTAGAAGGCAATATTCCATGTAAGTTTTAAGATACGACCTGAATATTTTATGATATAGCATTTTCAGGTAAATAATGGAAACAATGATCAAAATTCTTGTTTGCTTTATGATTTCAAAAGAAATCAAGATTTGTTCTAAGAAATCAAGCTTAGAAATCATGCAGACTTTAAAATATTAAAGCCCTGTTTATATTAAATGAGTATGCTTCGTTCCAATATTATTATCTTCTTTGTACGTGGGTGCGATGTAATAAATACATATAGATATTCAAAATATTGCAAAATGTAAATTTCTTTTATTTGCAAATATACAGTAGACATCTTATAATCTTTATGACAAAAGAAGATGCACATATAAATGTTTGTACTTCCATAAAAAAGTTTTGTAAAAAAACATTTCAATTGCTGTTGAATGCAACAAATTATTGAGATTAAAATTTCAATAAGTTCTAGAAACACAGAAAAAAAAAACTATATTACTCTTCTGTTTTCTAATACATGAAAAACATATTTTCTTTCTCAACTTTTTCCTAAATCTTTAAATTTTAAAGTACACAACTAAAAAAGTGACAACCAACATTACAATTGCATAATACATTTTAATATTCAAGAAAAAAATTTTGTATAAATTTCTGTCTTAGTAATTTATACTAAATATTTTAAAATTCAGTTGAAATTATTAAAATAAATTCAATACTAGAATTCAATAGAATATTGGAAATAGAACTAAGATGTTAGTATGATTTTAAATATGTGTATATGTGTATATGTAATGTCAAATTTGTAATCGAAATGCTGAAATGAAATATGTGGTAACAACAAAACTTGGTTTATAAAGTATGCATTACTAAAATATTAAAATTGTATATGATTACATATATATATACATATATAACTTTGCTTTTCGTATGCCTAAGTATTTACAAGTAAAACCACAAAAATTATATTTTAATGAATGACATTTTGTGTTTTTCATACATATATTCACATATGTTTGAAAATAATTAATTGTGATTTCCCGCGTGCCGCTTTACATGAGAAATCTGATACTTATGATCTTTAATAGTTATTGTATATTGATGAAATTGATAATGATGATGAATAAGTCAGAAAACTTATTCATAATAAGTAATTTGCAATTTCATAAAAATATCAAATTGTTTTGCTCAAATATTCATTTTTGTATACTGAAATTATAATATTATGCAAACAATATGATAAAATATGAATGAAAATGAAATTGAGCTAACAACTATAAATTTTTTTTAATAATTTTGAATAAAAATAGAAGATTATAAGAGGAAAAAAAGGGCAAAATTTAAACATTTACCTTAAATATACCACGCAGTTATTCTATTAGTTGGTCAATCTAAATTCTGAATCAAGATACAAAAAATTAATAAATATAAATGAATAAAGCAATATATAACGTAAGTAAATAGAATAAATACGAGTAGTATTAATATTGTAACAGTTGAGCACGAATAATTGACTGACACAATAATGATTGAAAGAACTCGTGATTGTTGTCAGAATATACTTTTCTCATATAAATCAAAAATTGTTACAAAAACGAAACAAAAAACTTGATTTGTAAAGTGTAATTTAATTTCTCTTACAATTATATAATTATACTTAGATTAAAAAGCATACAGCTGAAAAAAAAAATAAAAAAACAGAAAATTTTTGTAGGAGATAAATTGAAAAGACAAATATATTCGAAGAAATTGTCTCAAATAATTTATTTATAAGATTCTTCCAAGAATCCTATATAAAGAAAGAAAAATTATAGGAACAAATTTAATACGAAATTAATTCTGTAAAGATGAATGCTTTTTTATTTATTTTGTAGAAAATATTTCGATAAAATTCTGAGCAAATAAAATGAATACCAGTGACTCAGAAGTTATTTAAGGTTGAAATTGTAATGACTATATGAGATTCTTAAGTTTTTATGCAACATATTATATGCCATGAGTTTATGTTTTTATTTTTTCAATATAACTATTGTTATTGTTATTATTTTTTTTATATTAAGCGCCTAACACATCTTTTCCTTATAATTGTTAAACTGAAAGTGATAGTTGCTGGAACTACTTTTATTTGCAATATAAAATGAATTGAATCTCAAAAAAAAAATAGAGGCATGCAAACTGAAACTATAGCTTTGAAGGAACAGCATTTGTTTCAAGGAATATGTAAAATATTTTGGTTATGAGCTGTCTACTAAAATTTTAATAACTATTGTGAAGAATTTAATAAAACAATTTAATAAAACGGAAACGATTTTTACCAGATAATCTTAAAAATTTTTAAATTTTCTTTTTATAAAAAAAAGTATTTCTATTACTGCCAATGAAACTAAAAAAAATATCAGCAAAAATAGCTTACTTCCTATGACTCACCATATTTTAGTTAATTATTATTCGTTTCCATTACTACAACTATGACTTGATTACGGTAATTGGGTCTGAATATCTAGTTTCATATTTAGAAAAATCACACTATATAAAATGGTACAATTTTACAGACAATCTTGAAGAAATTTGAAAAAATTAGAAATTTCAAGTTATATTTTGGTTTACATACAAATTGAAAAGAAGGCATACTAACATAAGTAAGTGGTTTTAGGAAGCTATTAAAATCAAACTATTGTTCTCAAGAAAACCAGGCCTTAGTGATTTCGATTTAATCTTCAAAAAAAAGTATCATCTAACAAAATTAAATGAAAATATAAGATCTGATAAAAAAAATATATTAAATATTAATTATATTTGAAATTCAATTAAGTAATATCAACATAGTTTTCATAGAATATATGAGGGCGCTTATGACATTTTTTGCTATTATGTTAAAAGAAAATGTCAAACAATGAACCAATATACTTGGGTTATAATTTTATCGAATATTTGTGTACAATAGAGTTCAAAAAACATTTTTAAAAACAATGATTTATTTCTTAAAATAAGTTACTGCCATGTACCATCATTATTTTTACGGTTATAGTCTCTAATATGAAAACTTTTTTCCCTTAACGTCGAAGTTAATAATCTGTAAAGACACTATTTTTCAATAATAATTTTATTCTTTCTTGTATATACCCCTATTTCACGTACTTCCCTTTTGTGTATACAAATATAAATCTATTCAATTTTCTATTTTAAAATTCTCATTTCATATTTTTGTCTTACTCTGAATAAGATATAAAAGCCTTTTTCTTTTGTATGAAAAAAAAGCAAAAATATCGTAGAGATATTCAATCTTGCAATAAGATAACTAATATTCTTCTTCGCAAAACTTTTAAACGGACTTTATCAGAAAACTACAATAACGAAAAAAAGCACAAAAACAACAATAACACAAATAACAAGTCGAAAAAAATAGAAATAAAATTAAGAAAGAAGTAGAAAAAAGAGGAAAAGTTTTTTGTGTAAGGATACAAAAGAAAAAGAAAAATTTGTACAGCAAAAACAGCAACAATAACAACAACAAAAGTGAAGATAACTACGATTCATATATGATGACATCCTTTTTATATGATAATTTTTTTTTTGCCATTTTCGTTATCATTCCATTTTTTTTTTTTAATTTTTTTTTTCATTTTATTTCTTAACAATAGATAAGTTGTGTTCTTATATAATATAATAAATATATTCTTCCTATATACATCGTATATATTAGGATCGTATGTACGTACATATATAAATATATATACGAATTTTATATTTTATTGAACAGTTATGTGTTACATACATACATACATGCAATATGTTTTTTCCATTTTTAATAGAATAGAAGCAACAAATGCTTCTATAAGCAACATGTATAAAGAAAAGTTTCTTTTTCTCAATTTGTAATAATATCTATGTACAAAAATTTTACATAAATATGTAAAAAATAAAATTTCCACATCCATATATATACATTTGCAAAGGGAAAATCTCAAAATGTATATAGGTATGTAACCTTTTAAAATATCATATATAATTTGTATACATAACATATTTTTACACTATGGTAAGGACATTTTAATATTTGCATATAAAAATTCATATTTGCAATAGTAAAAAAATAAAATTCATTACACAAACATTTGATGTATACAAAATTTTACTTAAATAGGATTCGAATTGATTATATTATGTACTCATAAAAAGGAGCTACACATATTATTTATCTTATTTATGTATCTTATTTATAACATATATATATATATATATATATATATATATATATATATATATATATATATATATATACTATACTTATATATTAGTACATGTTATGTGATTATTATAATTCTCAATAAATTGTGTCAGAGATAAAAACGAAATTATATATAATTATTAAGCAATATTTATATGTGTGTAAGAGCTCTTTCGATAGCTGTGCCAGACGGTGTAAGTATAGCTTTGAACTTTTGTTAGTAGTAATTTTAAAAGGAAATAAATTATTATTAACTGTTTATTTCTGTTTATATACATTTATTCATATTTCGTACACACATACTATGTAATAAAAATACTATTTAATTTTCAATTTAAAATTTCAAATTAATATTCAGATGTGAAATTATAATTTCCTATTCTAATTTAAAAATAATTAATTTACTAAATACGAGGGAGCAGTAAAATACTTTATGCAAACAAAGATTTAAACATATACATTTGTATATATATAATAATTAATTAATATTATATGTACTTATATATAATTAAAAAATTTCATGTATCATAATTTTCATAGGAGAAAAGTTACTATAATTTTGTGTACTAACCTTATGTTTTTCCTTTCACTTTGGATGTTTCTTTCTTTTTGATAAAAAATTTTTACAATTTTCCTTTACTTTTACCCCGTTAAATAATAATATTTTCGTTCTTTCTGTACTTTGCTATTTTTTTTTACTTTTATACTTATTTTAACTGTGATGAAGTATGATGAGTAATTACATATGTAATACCAGTATAATTTATTTTCTACTTTTTTTCTTTAATTTTTTGTTTTTGTTTAAAAATTGATTACAAGTGAAAATAAAAGGATTTATATATTATATATGTACATTTGTTCGTTATATGAATATCTAAATAAATATATTTATTATATAGGAGACAGTTTACATATTATATTATGTATTATTATTATATTATGTACATATGCATATTTATTAAGACTATAGGGAAAAAAACAAACTTTCTTGCTTCTGATTTGCTTCCTTTCTCTTTATTTATTTATACATACTTATATACATACATATATATTTTGCAAAAACAATTATAATCCTTTTATTCTGTTAAATTTGATCCTTTAATACTTATATTTCATTATGTATACATGTACATATATGTATAAATATTGTATAGAATATAACAATATTAAATTAAAATTTTATTATATTAACAATAAATATTTTATATATATGTATGTGTATTTATATATTAAATATTTGCATTTAAAACAAAAATGTTTATACATATTATATAAATGTAAATTTTAAAGGTATGTCTAAATGTTGAAATTATGTAAAAACAAAAAAAAATGTTCACGTTTTTTCCAATTTAATATTTGAATTTATATAATTGTATATATAAATATATATAAATTTATATATGTATACATGTATGAATTATTTTATATTGAATTAAATAAGGATTGAAAGAGAACAAAAAAAGCAAATGCACATAAATTAAATTTATATTTACATATAAGTAAATATTCAGGTATATATGTGTGTAATATATATGTAGGTATATGTATAAAAAACAATATTTTTAAAATGTTTTAGAATTTTAAGACTTTTGTTTTATAATATTGTTTTTTTTTTTAATTTTTTTTTTACAAAAGGAAGAAAATATGACAATTAGTAAGATTTTTTTATTTTTTTTGGTTTCTTTAATTAAAAAGGCAAATTTTGTTATTATCTCTTTGCTTTTTTTTGTTTTTTTTCAACTTCACCTGTTACAAATCTTTTACATTATTTTTATAACAAAAACAGAACTTCGACAAAAAACAAAAAACAATTGAGAATTGAAATGAAAAAATTTCACATGCTTTAATTTTCTTTTAAAAACAAAAAAAAATTTTTTTTTACTTTAAAAATTTTCTTTTAAAAATTTATTTCAAATTTATTTCAAATTCTTACATTATTTTGTTATATTTTTTTTTTATATTTTTATATTATTGTACTTTGTATATTATTGTACCTATGTATGTATATATACAGAACTTTAACGCGCTAGATATTTTTTTATTTCAAAATAAATCTTTCCCCAAAAAAAAGAAAAAAATCTATTATTATTATTGTTATTGTGTTGAAACTTTTTTAATTTTGGAAATACAAAAAAACGCGCACGTTTTTGTCACAAAAATTTTTTAGCCGAAGTGAACAGGAACATTTAAACATTTATAATATGAATTTAAGATAAAAATTTTCAACAAAAAAAAAAATAAACGGAAAAACTAGCACAAAAATAAATAAAAAAATATTTTCCAAAAAAAAAAATTAAGAACCCAAAAATTAATGGATCCTAATTCCTGCTAATTTTATTTAACAATGAAATTTTTTCTCAATATTTTTTATTATTTTTATACATTTATTTTAATTATTTTTATTTTTATAATTATTTATATAAATATTTATTTATACATACTTAATTACGCAAATTTAAATTTATTAACTAAATTCTTTTTAGTTTTATTTTATAATATACTTTGTTTTTTGGTTTTTTTTTGTCAAATAAAGAACACACAAAAAATCATCTGTTTAGTTTGATTATATCTCAATACATATATATTATTTATGTATATATTAGAACAAAACAATAACAATTTATAATGGTAAGTAATATATTTTTTTTCTACATATATTATTTATTTATTTATTTATTAAAAAAGTTAAGTAATAGAAACGAGAATAATAATACTCTTAACTCGTTGAAAGACCGCGACCAACTAACAAAAAATAACTAAAGAAAAAATTTATTTTAAACTTTTTATTTCAATTTTTTTTTATTATTTTTTTTTTGCTTTTTCTTTACAGCAACAGCATATAACAGGACAGTCATCCATCGGTTTATTTCAGCAGTCAAACGACTTTAAGAGTTTTACAGTGGTGGAGTAACACAAATACAAATAACAAAAAATTGGATTTGTTATGTACATTATTATTTCCCATTTTTCTTGTTTTCTCGTTTTTTTATGTTAACTTTTATGTTAAATCAAAATTATCACTATAAACAATGTAAGTATGTGTTAAAGTTTGTACATAATGTAGATTGCTTGTATAAGAAATATTAAAAGTTTAAAATTTGCTCCAAGCAGAAAAAATAAGAAACCAAAACAAAACTTTTAAGCAATGCTATTATTATACACTTATTGCTTTTGTTGTTTTCTGTTAATAAAAATTCTGTTATAAATTTTACAAAAAATCTGTTATAAACAACAAAAGCAATATTGTTATTTTAACATAAAATGAAAACAAAAACTATTAGGAAAACTTTATTTTATGTTTATAGATATAAACGAGTACTCGTATAAACGTGGTCATACATAAATATACGGATATCCAAATATACATATATGTAACCATATGGGTATGTATGTGCTTTTGAGATATACAATAATTCCATAATCCATATATACATAATTGCATTTTTGATATGAATGAGAGGAAATATAAAATTGCGAGTACGAACGAAGAGAACAAAAGAGAGATTATTTACATTTGGTTTTTACTTTTCTTTTGCAGACAAGAGAATCCACATAAAATAAAACATAAATGAAAAGCTTTGATATAAGAAAGAAAGACAAAGAGAGAAAAATAAAAGCACCACAAATCATGAATAAAACAAGAAGATTTTAATTTTTTTTTTTAGAAAAATATGCGAAATACAATGGTCACAGCACTGTCACTAAAAAGAGCACTATCCTTCTCTACCAATCCTTGTCCGTCATCTGAACCAAATGATTCTCTAACAGAACAGTCAAATAGTCAGGTTCTTAATATTTTCTGAAAAATATATTGTGTTACATTATTAAAATATTTAATTTTTTAATTTAACAAGAAATCTATCTATTAGTGGAGAAATTTACGTTTTTATCCAAGACTATATGAAGAGTATTTTTAGATGAGGAAAGATGAATGCCCAACCATCTTTCCTCTATGTACAATTTGAAAAACAAGGCTTTAAAGTTAAATGTATTCTTATTTTTGTTTCTAATTTTACCAACTTGAAACTAAATTTCGACTGAATTATTCTACTCAACTGGGTACACTGTTTTCAAAATATTTACAGCTAGCATTAACGTACATATAAAACAATATTAAGTAATGAGGACCGAATAAAAATAAGTATTTAAAAAATTAGAATATGTACATATTACATGCATAAGAAATGCCATTCACGTATTATATGGAGTCACTCGTTATATTGTATATGCATATACGAATCTGTATGCATATTTTTCTCCTCATTTTTATTCTAAATGAAATGCTTTGAAAAAAAACCAAAAAAAAGAGAAACAAATAATTAAATAAAAACAGAATAACAAGCAAACTGAGGTAAACAATAAGAAAGCAAACATAACAGAACTGCTAAACATAAACAGACTGATTTGCATATTAAGATTGTATAAGAGTATTATATCCATTGTATGATAAACCAAAAAACCACACAATATTAAGATGAATTTGTTGAATGAAAATGAAAGGAGCATACTTCAAAGGAAAAATAATATATAAACTTTTCTTTTAAAAAACTAAATTTTGAATTTATCCAATGTATGTATGCATATGTATATGAGATGTATGATACCAATAAAGTAAGTCATATAGTTGGCATTTATTTTAAAATAATTAATACTAGAAAATAAGTTTAAAAAAGCAAATTAATAGCTTTTAAGAAAATAGATTTTCATCCAAAATATATTAAGTACTCGTTTTCCAACCACCTAAAAATATGCAATATTACATATTTTTTCTCTTACTAAAAATTGTAGAAAATCTGTAGGTAACTAATCAATAGAATGAAACTTTACTTCATATAAATTTCCATATATTTTATTTTAGCATCAACTCAGATTAATCGCATTTTAATTTTTATAAAAATAAAAATGTTTTTGTTATTAATAAATCCATTTTGCTAAACCAAATTTTACTAATTAGTTTCATTCACAAGTAGAACTTAAGGGTAAAATAACAAGAGAGTTCATTGTGGTATTTGTTTTTATAGTTTATAACGAGAAAGTACGTTACTGTAGACAAAGTCTTAATTTCTTATGAAACTGTATATATTTTGATATTATATAAAATTTTGTTGGACAGTCTAACTCCAACTAATTTAACTAATTTTCCAACTTCATTTGGAATTCAATGAATTCCAAACTAAAAACTATTTAATTATCATTAGTGCAATATTAAAAGGAGACGATAGACTGCGAGTAAAGCAGATAAATAACAATATTTTTCTTTATTTAAAAGAAAAATACACTAAAATTAACATTACATTTAAATTACATTTGAATTAAAGAATAAAATAACAGCTTACAATAAAACAATGTAAGAGAAGGAAGCTTTTTATTCTGATTTAAATATTTTGACTGTGATTTAAAGGAAAATTTAATGAATAAATAATTTTAATTACATTTTCATGTACATCATATAGATTTTAATAAAAATACCAAAAACATACATAAACATACTATGGGTGAGCTAAAATACTATATTATGAATATTTGTATGAAAAGTTAAATTGTTGACATTGGTTAATATTCTAAAATATTTAATAAGCAGAAGAAATCAAATTATTCGAAAATCGAAAAGAAAACCGGAATGAAAAATAAAATTGCAAAAATATTTTTTGAGCGATTTTTTAAAAATGTCTTTGTAATCTGAGCCTCTTTAACCAAAATCGAGGTTTAAGTGAATCATTTTCAATGAAATTTTTGTGTTCGAATTGAATTGAATGTTTCTTTCATTCTGCTTGTTTCACATTCTAAATTACTTTGTCTTTTTTTAATATTTTAATAATGAATCTTCTTTTGTTGAAATAATTGTTATATTTTTTTTTTACAAATTCGAACTAATAAATTTTATTAATTCTATTTTAAAACAAAAATGTGACGAATAAAATTTTATTTATTTAAATATATTTTGTTAGAAATTTGTTAAAACAGTAGTTTTTCACAAATTTCTAACAAAATAGTCTACTTGTCTGTCTGTCTGTTTGTTTATAAAATTCCCTAATATTTTAAAGTATAAAAAGCAGAAATCTTTATATAAATCAAGATTTCAAGAAACCTATTTCTCTAGAGAAACATTTGTTTCTTACTCATCGGTCTAAAATAAAATTTATAATTCCTTAAAGTAGTAAAAATTGCTGGGATTTAAAATTTTTAAAATTTTTGAAAGTAATTAATACTTAATTACTTAAATTATTTAATTTTTTAAAGTAGAATCAAATCTAAAAGTTTTGTCAAATTTTAAACTTTTCCCAACTTCTTTAACTTTACGCTTACTCTAATTTTTCTAAATGAAAGCAAAGAATATTTATATCACAATGTAGTTTAGAATAATTTAGAAAGTAAATAGAAGACTTTGTTATAGGGAAATATGCTACTTCAAACACCTTTTGTTTGACCGCAATTTTTTATTTGTGTTTTTAAACTTAACAAAATACGTAGCACAAATAAACAAACAAAATACAATCAAAGTGCATCATATATAAAAAATTATTAAAGATCATAAACGAAATAATAACAAATAAAAAAAAACTATCTTTGAAACGCGCATCACGCTGTTAAAATTATGTCACAAACGAAAGAAATTCACCATTGATGCGTGTATTTTGCAAAAGAGTTTTCTTATGATTGCTGTAATTACATAATTATGTAAATTTTTTTATTAAATTTTATGTTAAAAAATTTTTTTGTTCGTTTCGAAGGTGTCAATATAATAGGGTGCTAAAAAATTCATTTTTTTTATTTTATTAAAAGTGAACAATAAAAACAAGCTTTGTCATAGCTTAACAATGTAAAATATTTGATTTTAACACTAGCTTATATATTAATCTCAATAATGTGATCATAAATCAATATTAAATGCGCTCTTAAAGTTTATTATAATTTTAATTTAAAATAACATTGTATTATAATAGAAATTCAATAAATATTGGCATTATATTAGATATGAGCGTAATATGCTGGAATAATAAAGGCGAACCAAAAGTGAGTTTTATTTTCCTTTGTCATTGAGTCCAAAATTGAAATCATCAATATTTATTTGTTATTTTAATTGCGGTTATTTTTTACATTAAAAATTTGCATTATGGTCTATAAGAAATAAAAATCATTGTACAATTATAAAAAAATGGGAGTATTAAATGAAATTATATGAATATAACTCTAAACTATATTTGATTTAAATAAAGCATATTATCATTTAGAAATTAAAACTTACTTTTCATTGAAAATTACAAGTTCTCAATTTATCTGTACTTTGATTCAAGAGATAAATACTCGTCTATTTTTCAGGACGCTTAAAAAATACGTTTAATAAAGCAATTAATTTTATATTTTCGGTACATCAGTTTGCCAACAATTTCCTGCGATACGGCTATATTATTTTTCTTCAAAATATATGTGAGTTTCCTCATTTATAACAATTCTCCGATTTTTAGAATTTCGGCCGAAAAATGTGAAAATGTGACCTAAATTTGGACCATTTAAAGGAGTCATATTATATGTATTCGATATTTTGAACATGATTTTAAAATTTTAAAAGTAAAAACAAGCTAATAAGCTAGAAACGTGCATATA